TGTGTGTGTGTGTGTGTGTGTGTGTGTGTGTGTGTGTGTGTGTGTGTAGACTCATTCTATCAGTTCTGTGCCTCTAGAAAACCCTGACTATTACAGATTTTGATGTCAAAAGTGGTTCTAGAGCAACAGAAGTATAAGGATGAATTTTTAAAGTATCTGGAAATCTGGAATATGTTTTCCAATTTGTCAACACTTACAGTTACTGAAGCCTCTTCTGGAAATTTGGAGAGTACTGAAAGTCCATCATGTGAATTATTTTGAAAACTTAAGGAGACAAATGCATTTGATTATTCTGATTCACCAATTGGGAGAGGTACCAGATTTGCAGAAAATAAGGAAAATGGTGATGGTGGTTGGTTGTTCCTAGCCTCTCTGGATAAACTGACAAAGAAAAAGAATGAGCTCCGTGACAAAATTAACCAACTGCTAGCATCTCAGAATACAGTGAGAGACAAGGAACTCAGTGAGAGAACTGACCGGCTCCAGACGTGCATAAACAACCTATAGGTTTCTAAGGTGCCCAGAAGGGACTCTTCTCTAGCAGTCACAGAACTTAAGATGTGGAAAACCAACTGAAGCCCTTATTATAAGGTTGGCTGAATTTCAGAGAAAATCAAATCCCAACCTCAGACAGTGTCAGTGTTTAGAGGGTATTAAGTGGTAAAGAATAGAATCCTGTAACTTGGAATGGTGATTTGTGGGAGGACCCTATTGAAGCTGAGAACTCTGAGCCTTCAGATTCTCAAGGGTTTTTATCTCATTTGAGGAAGTAGTTTCTCCACCCTCTGCAGAAGATGAGCATACACCCCTACCCCCTGACATATTGTCTTTTCCACCTTTGACTAAGGAAATTAATCCTTCATCGTCTGCTAAACCAACAGTAACTTTTTCTGAAGGAAATGCCAGGCAAGGTAATACTGATGTCCCCCAGGGCCCACCAATAGGTGCCTCTAGATCTATAACCAGACTGAAGGCTAAGGCCCTTAGTGGGGAGGTAGAGAGTGTAGTCCATGAGAAGGTACACTACACTACTAGTGAGTTTCCTAGTTCATTCAAGCAGAAGTCTGGGGATATCTGGGGATATGGGGAAATGGAACTAAGGGTGTGGTATAATGGTGGAAGAAATATGAAACTGGATCAGGCTGAGTTGATTGATATGGGCCCTCTGAGTGAAGAGTCTAGGTTTAATAGGGAAGCTCACACAATTAAAAAAAAGAAGAAAAAAAGGTGCTAGGTGGTGGTGGCACATGCCTTTAATCCCAGCACAGAGGCAGGTGGATCTCTATGAGTTTGAGAACAGCCTGGTCTACATAGGGAGTTCCAGGACAGGCTTCAAAGCTACACAGAGAAACCCTGTCTCAAAAAAACCAAGAGAATATCAGTTGCTATCATATTTGAGATACTAAAAGGATGTCCCTCAAGGAACATTGTCACCTATTCTAAATTTATAATGCATTGTGGTTTTATGAGGATAAATTATATCAGGCTAGGCATAATTATGACCTGGTTAAATATATGATGCACTTGCAATTATACTTGGGAATAGTTATATCATGTTAGGTGTAATTATGACCTGGTTGTTTTCATTTGGAAATTAAGCATGACACAATGAAATATGGTTGTGTGTCAAGCTGACAAGAGGAGGATCTGTGATGGCTATTCTTGGTTGTCAACCTGACTACATTTGGAATTAAGTAAAACCCAAGCAGATGGGTACACCTGTGAAGGATTTTTTTTTTTAAACTCAACCTACTTTGAATCTGAATCTTTTGAGGTGGGAAGATCCACCTTTAATGTGGGTCACCGCCTGCTGGCAGTCTATAGAAAGGACATGAAAGAAGAAATTGTGCTCTTTGCCTGCTTGCTGTTGCTGAGAAGGAAATCCATTTCTTCCCTGACATTAGAGTCTATTTCTTCAGGAGTCCAGCATGTACTGAAGATCCTTGGAAGATTCTGTCTTCCATTGGTAGACAGCTATTGTTGGATTAGCTGGACCACAGCCTGTATGGTGGTTTGAAAGAAAATGGCCCCCAAAGGGAGTAGCACTATTAGGAGGTGGCCTTGTTGGAGGAAGTGTGTCACTATGGGAGTGGGCTTTGAGGTCTCTTACTCAAGCTTCCCTCAGTATGACAGTTGATTTTCCTGCTGCCTGCAAGATACGGACTCTCCGCTATTCCTCCAGCACCATGTCTACCTGCATGCCGCCATGCTCCCTGCCATGATGATAATGAACTGAACCTCTGAAACTGTAAGTGAGCGCCCTCAATTAAATGTTTTCCTTATAAGAGTTGTGTGGTCATGGTGTCTCTTCACAGACATAAAACCCTAAGACAACCTGTAAGTCATTCTAATAAATTTCCCTTTCACTCTTTCAGTTCTGCTCCTAGAGAGAACCCTAATACACCAGGACTTCACTATCCCTCAAGGACAAAGGCCATACAGAGGTGTGACCACCAGAATTCTGAGGTCAACACCTAGTACAGGAGTGTCCCAAGCCCAGCACAGAACCCACCCACAATTGCTCCCTTTCTTCCACTAGTCCATCCCAGGACTAAGACAACTCCCAAACCAAGCATCAGCCCTTGCAGAACCAAGAGGACTGGCCAGCTACTACAGTCCACGTGTAGAAAGAAAGAAAGGAACAAAGTGTCAGCAGTCCCCAGGGAACAGGAAGTGTGTGAGCATCAAAGGCTCAGCCTGCACTGTTTACACACACCACAGAAATCTAATAATTTTCCTTTCAACCCACCTGAAGGCAGAAGTCCAGACTACTGATTTGACATTTATCTGCTTCTTGTACCCCCACCTCAATTTTTGATATTCTTACTTTAATTTCTTTCAAAGCTTTCATTTTCTCCCCTCCCCAGGTCTTAACAAACACTGGGCTTGTACCCGACCACTGAACTATACCTGCTATCACTACCAGGTAATAAGAGGAAAATATCATGTCCTGAACGCCATTCAGACCCAACACAACATACTGAACATAACAAGTACTCAATTCGGAATCCGACAATTGGTACTTGACAGTCATCCATATTTCATAAACAAATCTGGGCTATGACTATGACTTTAGTAAGTGACATCAACAGGCAGAACTCTCTTCATTCTGGACTTCATATCTGACCTCAGAGTCCAGGATACCCAGAGCAGTCTTGGAAGAAGGGATCAGAGGCAACACTGACAACTACAACAGAAAATTCTCAAGTTTCTGCCCCCTTTTCAGTCACCAAATCAAGAAGATGCCCATCTTCACTGAGCACAATTTAGGAACACTGAAGTCTACTTCATGAATACTCACCTTTTTAAGAGAATCCCCATGTCTTTCCTGAATGTACTTCAGGAACGCTGTGGTCCACTGAAGGGTTGTTGCTTTATCTGTCTCTGCATTGCAGAACGGAACTAAAAGATTCAGCTCATCACAGCAAATGCGGATTCTGCGCCTGCAGTCAAAATCCACAGTAATCACACAGGACGGCTGGTGAAGTACAGGAGCAACAGAGTTGCTCATTCAAAGAAAGCGGAATACACAGAGCGGACCCTGAAAGCTAGGAGGTGTGTCCCACCTGGAAGCCTTGGGTAAGCTAGTGGGCACTTTGCACTGAGTGCCTGTCTCCAGAGGCCATTGCTGCCCATGGCCACCGGAGAACCTGTAGTGGCCCAGCAGTCTCCAGATCCCTACACCTTCTCTATTTACTTTTCATGGGTCAGCTCTCCATACCAGGGATAGCTGCAAATCCCTGAACTCAAGAACAAAATTTCTGGGCAAATATTTTTGTTGTTGTTGTTGTTCATTGTTTTCTCTTTTTCCGCACTGAACTTCAGAGTCAGCCCCAAACTGTTATTTAGGAACCATGACTTGCTTTCCACATACAGAAAAACGTGCTCAGGCACAAGCACAGCTTCCAGACTGAGGGGCGTATGAGACACACCTCTAATAAAGCATCTCAGAGACTGAGGTAGAATTATCATAAATTCGAGGTCAGTCTGGGCTGTGTAATGAGACTCTATCTCATAAAAACAAACTTGGCCGTTTTTAGAGAATTTAGGGCTAGGTCTGGGGATAACTCAGAGGTAGAGTGCTTGCCTATTATTCCATCACCAGCACTGAAAAAAAAAATCTTCTTGAGAGAATTAAGCACACCTGCTTTAAGCTTTACACATCACATCCAACATAAGCAAAGCCCTCACTGTGCCGACACAAAGTTTCACAGCAAGGCACACACCACACATTTTCACACCCACACCTAAAGTCAAATGGCAGCTAGCGCTTTCTGCATGTGCTCTAATTTCTAGTCGAGAGTCTAAACTCCTTCCCTATCAGCTCAAGTAGTTCTGACTCAAGTCTGTGCTGTAGGTAGCAACCATAGTCTATAAGTGAGAAATTCAAGAAGCACGGAACTCACTGGAAGCCATTAACCCAGGAGGTATTGAGAATTCCACAGAGCAGCAATCACAATCAGGTGAGCAGTACTCCATTTACAATTCACAGTAGACTAAACAAGTCCCTCAGGTACACCATGACTGTGTACAGGTATAAGAAAATGTATTGGCTACAGAGGGAAACCCTGCCTCAAAAAAAAAGAGAATGCCTTTTAATCCTAGCATTCAGGAGAGACAGGCAGATCTCTGAGTTCAAGGCCAGCCGGACCTACAGAACAAGTTCCAGGACAGGCTCCAAAGCTACAGAAAAACTCTGTCTTGAAAAACCAAACAAGAGAGAGAGAGAGAGAGAGAGAGAGAATGAGAATGAATGCAATGGGGCTGGAGAGATGGCTCAGTAGTAAAAAAACATGTTTTCTTTAATGATGTTTTCTTTTTTTTAATTTATTTATTTATTATGTTTACAATATTCTGTCTGTGTGTATGCCTGAAGGCCAGAAGAGGGCACCAGACCTCATTACAGATGGTTGTGAGACACCATGTGGTTGCTGGGAATTGAACTCAGGACCTTTGGAAGAGCAGGCAGTGCTCTTAACTGCTGAGCCATCTCTCCAGTCCCCACCCCTAAAAGCATGCTTTGCTTTTGCAGAAGACCCAAATTCAATAACCAGCACCCACATGGTGGCTCCCAACCATCTGTAACTCCAGTTCCAGGGATCTTCTGACACAGCAGTCACTGAGCACACACTTAAGCAAAATACTCATAAACAAAGAATAACACAGCTGGAGAGAAGGCCCAGTGGCTAGCTGCTCTTCCAGAGGACATAGATTCAATTCCTAGCATCCACATGGTGGCTCACAATCATCTGTAACTCTAGGCTTAGAACCCAATGCCTTCTTCTGGCATCCAGAGGCACACAAGTAATGAAAAAACATAATTTGTTTTGATAAAATGAAGAAGAAATCCCAGAACTTGGGAAACAGAGGTAGGCAGATCTCCATGAGTTTGAGGTCAGTCTGGCCTTAAAAAAAAAAAAAAAGGAAGGAAGGAATGAAGGAAGGAAGATAGATATCTACTTAGTTTTAACACATCCCTCTAAAAAGCAATATATCACCTTGGCTTATTAAATAATAGAACTTCAATACACAATACTATTTCATTAAATACTATTATTCCTGAGCGGAAAACATACACGCAATACTCATAAATGACCAAATTGATTATTACTATTAAATAATGTAATAAAAACCCAATTTCAATACAGAAAAATTACCCTCTTATATAACCTAGAGGAGCACATATAAAATCCACAGGCAAACTCATTTCAGTAACAGTTCTAACCTCCTCTTTCCCAACATTGTTTTTTCTTTTTCCTCCCTGTTCTTCTTCTTCTTCTTCTTCTTCCTCTCTCTCTCTCTCTCTCTCTCTCTCTCTCTCTCTCTCTCTCTGGATGTAGGTTCTTGCTATTCAAGACTAATCTATAATTCACTGTATATCCCAGACTGTCCTCAACTGGAAGCAATCCTCCTACCTCAGCCTCCTGAATACAGCAATCACAAATGTATGCCATATACCTGGCTTCCCCAAATAAAACAGAAGCCTACAAAGTTACATACTGTGCAGTTAACCTGAAGACCTTTCCTCTACTTAAGGACCTGCTGACAAATGACCTTCTAGTATCTGGAAACTTGGGCTTGGGGAGATTAGTGAATAATAGCCCACAGGACCTCAACTCTGCAAGCAACATGGCTCACAATGGGAGCCTGGTATTTAGAGTGTGCCTGATAAATAGTCATGTGATGGGCACCAATACAGTCTCTTAGCCTCTGATGAGTCCTCCTGTTTGGTGGCACCTCGTTAGTGCCCTGGGACCACAACACTGGAGTCATCAATTAGGAGGTCCTATGTACCGTTCTGGGAGAAGACACCGGGGACTGTGCTCCCTAGGTCTTCCCACACACCTTGGGTCATTTTGCCTTGTACCCTGCCACTGTAGTCAGTCAGAGCATGAGTTCACCAGAGATCACTGAGTCTCGAGGACTCCTAAGCCTCCAGACAGAGGATGAACTATCATACAAAGAGCCAGCACACCTACAACTGCATGGGCATGGGTGGAGGCCATGGTCCATCACTGTATTATTACCTTCTATCTCTTTCCATTCGGTTGTGCCTCTCCCGACGCTGAGACCTTCCTCCCTGGGGTCCGCTTTGCGTCTGCTCCCCCAGGTTTGACTGTGAGGACTCAGAAGACTGCCAGGTGCCCTGTGAAGCTGTAGAACCGTCGCCCACATTCTGAATCTCTCCAAGGGCTCTTCGCTCCACACTTGTGTCCAACTGGCGGATTCTACTCCGATTCCTCTTATTGATTGCTTGTTTACATAGCGCTTCTTCTTTGCAAAAGAAGAAAAAAGCCGTCATTTAGTACTTTTATTCTTTTGTTTTTCAAAACAGGGTTTCTCTGTAGCTTTGGAGCCTGTCCTGGAGCTCACTCTGTAGACCTGGTTAGGCTTGAACTCACAGAGATCCGCCCGCCTCTGCCTCCCAAGTGCTGGGATTAAGGTGTGAGCCATCACCGCCTGACTAGTTTTTTATTCTTTTTTTTAATATTTATTTATTTTTTATTATGTATACAATATTCTGTCTGTGTGTATGCCTGCAGGCCAGAAGAGGGCACCAGACCCCATTACAGATGGTTGTGAGCCACCATGTGGTTGCTGGGAATTGAACTCAGGACCTTTGGAAGAGCAGGCAATGCTCTTAACCTCTGAGCTATCTCTCCAGCCCCCCTAGTTTTTTATTCTTAACTCATTCCCATTAATGTGGAATATCTTTGTTGTCTTTTTTTTTTTTTTTCTGAGAAAGAGCCTCATAAAACCCAGTATTGCCTTAACTCACAATGTAGCTGAGGATGCCTGTGAATTTCTGACCCTCCAAAGTGCTGGGACTAAGGTGTGCATCACGATGGGTTATTTTTCTTTTCTCTTTTGACTGTGTGTGCCTGTGCACTCATCCATGCATACGCATGTTTTGCATTTCACTCCAAGATTCTAACACTATCAAGTAGGAATTAAAGAAACAAGGAGCTATGAAGACAGACTTTGGGCACTAAGCACTGAGCTCTAACCCTACAGCACGATTAAATTACCCCCTTCTGACTGGGTGGGTAGTGGTATACGCCTTTAATCCCAGCACAGGCAGGTGCATCTCTGAATTCAAGAACGGTCTGGTCTACAGAGTGAGTTCCAGGACAGCCAGGGTTACACAGAGAAACCCTGTCCCAAACAACGACAAAAAAGTCAACCCACAAACCAAACCAAACCAAACCACCCCACCCCTTCTGAGTGCTATGCAACCAACACAATTAGGTCAGCTGCTCCCTTTTTCATGGAGCTACAGGGAGCTCAGGGCCTTAAGTCTTCTAGCACCGACCTACACTGAACTAAACACCCCATTCCTCCCTTTTAATCAACAGTTGTTACTACCCATGAATAGAGAAACTAAGACATTGTTTTCTTTTTCTAGAATTTGGGATGAAAATATTTTTTCTTCATATTCATTCTAATGAGTATGAAATTGTAATATGAAAATTGATACTTTACCATACGTGAGAATAAAACTTAAGTGGTTCAGTTAAATATGTTTTCTTGTTAAAGTGATTCCACAAAAAAAGCAAAGAAAACAACCAGATTTTGCACTTTATTGTGCACATATTGTACACATAGAAACTCGTCAACTTCAATCAGACAAAGAGTGAGCTGGTGATGTGTTCTCCCACTTGTCACAAAAGGTAAACCGTCCTTGACACCAACTCTGGACAATACTTAAGAGAGACAGAGGAAGTAATTCAAAAGTTCTGGAGCTTTCTTCCTTAGCCTGAGCAGTGGGCACAGGCCCATCTTAGCTTTCACCTATATTCACACAAGAGCTTTTACATCAAAGTACTGACAACAATACTGAGGGCTGACAGGAAGCAGCAGTGTCCAGCTCATCCTGCCTCAGCAGTTCCGAAAGCTTCAGGAGCAGTAGTTACTATCTCTTCTTGCTGCTGCCTGAGGATCTGGATGTAGAACTCCCAGCTACTTCTTCAGCACCATGTCTGCCTGCATGCTGCCATGCCCCCTATCAAAATGATAAAGGACTAACCCTCTGAAACTGTATGTAATTCTGGCTGACCTGGAACACATTATATAAACCAGGATGATGTCGGCATCACAGAGATCTGCCTGCCTCTGCTTCCCAAACCCTAGGATTGAAGCTGTGTGTTGGTCAGAAGCGAGCACCCATTGGGAGCGGTGGGCAACAGCAGCAGCAGCTTCCAGCAGTGGCTTACAGAAGCTATCGTAAGATGTTCCTCTGGAAAAGGGCACCTGTGCCCCAGCTAGCATCCACTGCCATTCTCGATATGAGATACCCCGCTGCTGCAGTGGCCACCAGAACCTCAGCCCCACCTACATCTAGAGGAACAATCACCAGAACCGTGACCCCGCCTCTGCCTACATCTCAAGGAGTGACCACCAGAGCCTTGGGCCTGTGTGCACCTAGAGAAATGATCGCTGGAGGCTCTGCTCTGTCTGCACCGGAAGGAGTGTTCAATGGAGCCCAACAACACCAACTGGAGGAAGAGGGACCTTCTGAAGCACAGGCTTCACCTATACCAACTAAAGCAAGAGAGGGGTAGATAATAAGGTAAGAATACACTCAACAACATAAAGAGCGATACGGCACTACCAGACACTAGTGGCTCCACAACAGCAAGACCTGAACACCCCAACACAGAAGAAGCAGAAGAAAACAACCTTAAAAATAACCTTATGAAGATGATTAAGGCCCTTAAAGAGGAAATAAAAAATTCCCTTAAAGGGGAAGAAAACACAAACAAAAAAAATTGGAAGAAATCAACAAATCCCTTAAAGAAAACCAAGAAAAAGCAATCAAACAGGTGAAGAAAACAATTCAAGACTTGAAAACTGAAATAGAGGCAATAAAGAAAACACAAACCAAGAGAATTCTGGAAATGGAAAATTTGGGTACATGATCAGGAACCACAAATGCAAGCATAAACAACAGAATCCAAGAGATAGACGAGAGAATCTCAGGCACTGAAGATAAGATAGAGGAAACAGATTCATCGGTCAAAGAAAACGTTAAATCCAACAAATCCTTAACAAAAACTAGTCAGGAAATCTGGGACACCATGAAAAGACCAAACCTAAGAATAACAGGGCTAGACAAAAGAGAAATCCAACTCAAAGGCACAGAAAATACATTCAACAAAATCATAGAAGAAAACTTTCCCAGCCTAAAGAGCATGCCTGTGAAAGTGCAAGAAGCTTACAGAACACCAAATAGAATGAGCCAAAAAAGTCCCCTTGCCACTTAATAATCAAAACACTCAACAAATAGAATAAAGAATCTTAAAAGCTGCAAAGGAAAAAGGCCAAGTAACATATAAAGACAGACCTATCAAAATCACACTCAGTTTCTCAATGGAAACAATGAAAGCCAGAAGGTCCTGGACAGGCATTATGAAGACACTAAGAGACTACAAACGCCAGCCCAGACTATACTATATCCAGCAAAACTTTCAATCACCATAGATGGAGAAAAAAGATATTCCATGACAAAACCAGGCTTAACCAATACCTAGCCACATATCCAGCCTACAGAAAGTACTAGAAGGAAATCTCCAACCCAAGGAAGTCAGCTACATCCACAAAAAAACACAGGCAATAGATGATCTCATAGCAGCAAATCCCAAAGAAGGGAAAAGTACACACAATGGCACCACCACCACCAAAAATAAAAATAACAGGAACTAGTAATCACTGGTCATTAATATCCCTTAATATAAATGACTCAATTTGCCTAGAAAAATACACAGGCTAACAGATTGGATACAAAACAGAAACCATTCTACTTCTGCATACAAGAAACACACCTCAACCTCAAAGATATACCTCAGAGTAAAGGGTTGGGAAAAAATTTTTCAAATCAAATGGACCTAAGAAATAAGTTGGTATAGCTACCCTAATATCTAACAAAATAGACTTCAAGCTAAAATCAAAATATATAAAAGACATTTCATATTCATCACAGAAAAAATCCATCAAGAAGAAATCTCAATTCTAAACATCTATGCCCCAAATACAAGCGCATCCATATTTGTTTAAAAAAATTTTAAAACTTAAATCACACATTAAACCCCACATACTAATAGTGGGAGATTTCAACACCCGACTCTCACCACTGGATAGGACTGCCAGACAGAAACTTAACAGAGAAATAAGGGAACTAACATATGTTATGACTCAAATGGACTTAACAGATATCTATAGAACATTCCATCCAAACAGAAAAGAATATACCTTCTTCTCAGCACCTCATGGAACCTTCTCAAAAATTGACCACATACTTGGTAACAGATCAAACTTCAACAGATACAAAAAAAAAAAATTGGAATAACCCCATATATCTTATCAGATTACCACGGCTTAAAGGTAAAATTCAACAGCAACACTAATTTCAGAAAGCCCACAAACACATGGAAATTAAACAAAGCTCAACTAAATCACCACTGTGTCAAGGAAGAAATAAATAAAGACTTCCAAAAGTTTAATGAAAATGACTGCACAACATACCCAGACCTATGGGACACAATAAAAGCAGTGCTAAGAGGAAAGTTCATAGCATTAAATGCCTACATAAAGAAGTTGGAAAAATCCCACACTAGTGAATTAACAGAACACCTGAAAGCTCTAGAACAAAAAGAAGTAGTCAGGAAAGAATCAAATTGAGGGCTTGAAATTAAGAAAATAGAAACAAGGAAAACAATACAAAGAATCAATGAGACAAAGAGTTGGTTCTTCGAGAAAAATCAACAAGGTTGACAAACTAGCCAAAAGGCAGAGAGGGAACATCCAAACTAACAAAATCAGAAAAAAAAAAGACATAACAACAGACACTGAGGAAATTCAGAGAATCATCAGGTCATATTTCAAAAACCTGTACTACACAAAATTAGAAAAATTTAAGGAAATAGTTAATTTTCTAGATAAGTACCACATACCAAAATTAAATCAAGACCAGATAAACAAATTAAATAGATCTACAACCCATAAAGAAATAGAAACAATCATCAAAAGCCTCCTAACCAAAAAAAAAAGGGCCGGGGTCAGATGGTTTCAGTGCAGAATTCTACCAGAATTTCAAAGAAGAGCTAATACCGATACTCCTCAAATTGTTCCACACAACAGAAACAGAAGAAACACTGCCAAATTCTTTTTTTGAGGCTACAGTTACCCTAATACCCAAGCCACACAAAAATGCAACTAAGAAAGAGAATTACAGACCAATCTGCCTCATGAACATCAATGCAAAAATATTCAATAAAATACTGGCAAACTGAACCCAAGAACACATTAGAAAAATCATCTACTCTGATCAAGTAGGCTTCATTCCAGAGATGCAGGGATGGTTCAACATACAAAAATTCATCAATGTAACCCACCATATAAACAAACTGAAAGAAAAAAGCCGCATGGTCATTTCATTAAATGCTAAAATGCCTTTGACAAAATCCAACACCCCTTCAAGATAAAGGTCTTAGAGAGATCAAGGATACAAAAATCATTCCTAAATATAATAAAGGCAGTATACAGCAAGCCAACATCAAACTAAATGGAGAGAAATTCAAAGCAATTCCACTAAAATCGGGAACAAGACAAGGCTGTCCTTCCTCTCCACATGTATTCAATACAGTAGTCAGAGCCCTAGCCTGAGCAATAGTACAATGAAAGGAGATCAAGGGGATACAATTTGGAAAGGAAGAAGTCAAACTTTTGCTATTTGCTGATGATATGACAGTATACATAAGTGACCCCAAAATTCTACCAGGAACTCCTACAGCTGATAAACACTTTCAGTGATGTGGCAGGATACAAGATTAACTCAAAAAAAAAATCAGTAACCCTCCTATATACAGATGATAAATGGGCTGAAATCAGAGAAACATCATCCTTCACAATAGCCACAAACAACATAAAACATTTTGGGGTAACTCTAACCAAACAAGTGAAAAACCTGTATGACAAGAACTTTAAGTCTTTGAAGAACAAAACTGAAGAAGATATGAGAAAATGGAAAGATCTCCCATGCTCATGGATAGGCAGGATTACAGTAAAAATGGCCATCTTACCAGGCAGTGGTGGCGCATGCCTTTAATCCCAGCATTAAAAAAATTAAAAATAGGGAGGCAGAGGCAGGCGGATCTCTTTGAGTTCGATACCAGCCTGATCTACCAAAGTTATTTCCAGGACAGGCTCCAAAGTTACAGAGAAACCCTGTCTCGAAAAAAAAAAAATGGCAATCTTACCAAAAGCAATCTACAGATTCAATGCAATACCCATCAAAATCTAAGCACAATTCTTCACAAACCTCTAAAGAACAATACTAAATTTCATATGAAGAAACAAAAACTCACAATAGCCAAAACAACCCTATACAATAAAGGAACACCTGAAGGCATCACTATCCCTGACTTCAAGCACTATTATAAAGCTACAGTAATGAAAACAGCTTGTATTGGCATAAAAACAGACAGGTGGACCAATGGAATCGAATTGAAGGCCCTGATATTAACCCACACACCCATGAACACCTGATTTTTGACAAAGAAGCTAAAAATATAAAATGGAAAAAAGAAAGCATCTTCAACAAATGGTACTGATATAACTGGACGTCAACACGTAGAAGAATGCGAAAAGATCTGTATTTATTGCCATGCACAAAACTCAAGTACAAATGGATCAAAGACATCAACATAAATCCATCCACACTGAACCTCACAGACGAGAGTGGGAAATACCCTTGAATGCATTGGCACAGAAGACCACTTCCTGATTATAACACCAATAGCACAGACACTGAGAGCAACAGTTAATAAGCAGGACTTCCTGAAACTGAGATGCAAACGGCAGCCTACAGAATGGAAAAAGACCTTCACTAACCCCACAATGGACAGAGGACTGATCTCCAAAATATATAAAGAACTCAAGAAACTAGACATCAAACTTTCAAGTAATCCAATTAAAAAATGGGGTAGAGTTCTAAACAGAAGTTTCAAAGGATGAATCACAGACAAAATCAACACTAATGACAGCTTATGCTGAAGAGGATGTAGAGTAAGACGTACACTCCTCCATTCCTCGTGGGAATGAAAACTTGGACAGTCGCTGTGGAAATCAGTATGGCAATTTCTCAAAAAATTAGGAATCAGTCTACCTCAAGACCCAGCAATACGACTTTTGGGCATATACCCAAAAGAGGCACACTCATACCACAAGGACACCTGCTGAACTATGTTCATAACAGCATTGTTTGTAATAGCCAGAACCTGGAAACAACCTAGATGCCCCTCAACCGAAGAATGGATAAAGAAAATGTGGTTCATTTACACAATGGAGTAGTACTCAGCAATAAAAAACAATGACATCTTGAAATTTGCAGGCAAATGAATGAAATTAGAAAAAAAAAATCATCCTGAGTGAGGTAACCCAGATCCAGAAAGACAAATATGTACTCACTCATACGTGGATACCAGACATAAAGCAAAGGATAACCAGCCTACACAGTCCACAACCCCAGAGAAGTTAGCACCCTCTTCCAGAAACAGATGGAAGCAGATGCAGAGATCCACAGCTAAGCACTGGGTGGAGCTCCCGGAGTACAAAGTGAGGGAGGAGCGATAACAGGAACAAAGGGGTCAAGACCATGATGGGAAACCCACAGAGTCAGCTGACCCGAGCTAGGGGGAGATTACTGGCTCCAGACTGACAACTGGGGAACCTGCACAGGACAGAACAAGGCCCCTGAAGGCAGGTGACAGTGGTAGGGCAGTAATAGGGCCACTGGCAGTGGGACCAGGACCTAATTCTAACACATAAACTGATGTAGTGGAACCCATTCTCTATGGAGAGATACCTTGCTCAGTCTCAGGGTGTGGGAGCATTGGTCCTGCCTCAATGAGGTGATAGGACAGACTTAGTTGACATCCCAGGAGAGGTCTTACCCTCTTTGAGGAATGGATAAGGGCGAGGGGTGGGGGAGGGGAGGGATGAGAAACTGGGAATGGTGTGTAAAAACTAAATAAAATTAGAGCTGGAGAGATGGCCCAGTGGTTAAGACTACTCTTCCAAAGGACTTGGGTTCAATTCCCAGCAACCACATGGCAGCTAACAACAGTCTGTAACTCCAGTTCTAGGGCACCCAACACCCATGGCAAAACACCAATGTATATAAAATAAGATTAAATAAATTAGAAAAAAAACTAGATAAAATTAATTAAAAAAAAAAGAATGATAACCTTTTCCAAGGAGGGAGAGGCTGAACTGACCATCAAGGAAGCAATCTGCTGATGGCAGCTTCTTTACCCCCAGACCTCCGATCACTCAGTGGCTCTGCTAAGTCCTGCCACTGACACGACACAGTGTTATTTCTATCTTTTTGGAGCTTTCAGCTGATTTCAGGCTCCATAATCACCCACAAAGTATGAAATAAAATAAACTACAAAGTACTTACAGGGTTACGGCACCTTGTATGTCTGTTGTTATTTTACTGTTAAGAAAAAGCTCCCAAATTTAAAGTGTCCAAATTTGAGTAAACTATGATGTTCATAACTCAGAAGGAAGTTCAAAGAAGAGATTACTGAGAATGGGAAGTGTAGAGTAAACCCCTAAGACCTCTTACACATGTATAGAAAGGTCCTCTACTGTCTGTGCCCACCAAAGCCTAAACACTCTGCAGCTACAGACTGCCAAGCGTACACACACAGCCACCACCTCATTTATCACCTACCTCCCACCTTAATCCAAACCTGCTCGGGCAAGGCTTTGTTTCTAGTACCACCTGTCTGTTTGGTGGACTCAATCTCTTGCTGGTAACAGAAAGAAAATGCTCTAGGCAGTCCAATATCCTGGTGCTTGGCAGCTTCCAGTATAGAACATGAATTACTAGAACTCTGGAAAAAATTAAGTAACAGGAATTTTATCAATACATGTAGCTGTGTCAGCTCTTTACAGAACAAGCAAACTGCACTCAACAGAATTATGCTCAGACTTCTGAAAAACTTTTTTTCTTTCTTTCTTTTTTTTTTTTTTTAAGATTTTCACTGTGTATATGTGTGGGTTGTGCACATGACTGTAGGTGTTCTGGATGCCAGAGGGATCCCCTCCTAAAGCTGGATGTAACAGGCAGAACCAATCTAGGATCCAATACACTCTTAACCACTGAATCATCTCTCCAGCCCTTTCACTAGGCTTCTTAATAATGCTTAACAATACAAATATTTCAACCTTAAAAAGGTCACCAGTTCTATTTTAAAATAACAATACTGGGACAAGATGGCAGTAAAAAAAGGCTTTACCTGTGTCTGTGCAAGGTTGGTATTCCCACCAGTGGAGCAGGCACTTGTAAACAGCGGGTAGGTGAACTGCAAAGCAGTAGTGGCAGCAGCAGTTTTATTTTTCACTAAGGTCGTACATTTGTTTTGTTGCTGGTGAAGAGGAACATTCATTAATTCAGATGGATGCCGAATAAGAGTTACCAAACTGCCAAGACAAAAGAAAAACCCAGAAACCTGAAGAAGAGGTGGTGGAGAGGCTCCCAAAACACTGCCATCACCCACTCCACCACTATCAGGTCACGCTAGACTCTGCCCTGCTTCTCAAGCGGTCCTGGCCATGGCCAGTATGATCCACTGGACAGTGGTGGTGGTGGAGTTCACTCGCCTCCTCCCTGCCTGCAGCACTCCCTGACACCAAGCTCTGTCATCCTCCAAATCTGGCATGGATGGGCAAGACCAGGTCAGCCAGGGCCTGGGTGAGTGGAAAACTGCTGAGTCCGTGTCTTCAACAATTACCTGGAAGGGCACTAAGCGGGCCAGGAACTGCCACAGGTTTCAGCTTAATCTTACAACTCCTGCCTTTCCCTTCCACGGGTCCAAGTCTGCACTGGAGGCCAGAGCAGCTAGCTTTCCATGGTACTCAGAAAGGAGACAGGAGAGCAAAGGGTACAGTCCCCAGAACTCTTCCTCTCCTTTTTGGAGTGCAGCCCCAAGGTACTCCTTAGAATTGTCACTCAGCGCTTGTATGGTGTGCAGCTTTCAGAATCACCCCCAGGTGAAGTGAGGGCAGGAGGGCATAAGACCTTTCTAGCACCCAGAGTGTCTGCTGCCCCTTTGCACTGAAACCTCCCAGAGATCTTTGGGGAAAGCTGGTGTCCACGCAGCCACGGCAAGTAGCCCTGTGGATCCCGTCCAGGTATCCTCCCAGACCCAACAGGTGATCCTGCAGGAGCCCCTTCCAGATACCAGATACCACCCAGACCCTGCAGGCGCCCAGAATGAACCCTCAGACGGCACCGGCTCAGAGCCGGCCCCTCCTCCCCGCGCCCCGCACGCACTTGTTGAGCGCCACGCCCGACTCGCCGGGCTCAGCACCGCGAGGCGCAGGAGGCTCGGCTGGCATGCTGTTGAAGCGGTCCTCCAGGCGGACGCGG